TGAACTACATACGAAGGAGCAGAGTAATTACAATGGAATTGTACTAACATGATATAAAAAGGGTTGAAGTATCTCTTTGATTAAGTACAGGCTTGTTACAGAAAAGTCTTGCAAGAACATAGGGACAGCTTAATCTGAAAAGAAAACTTACAGCTTTCTATCTGGTTGTAGTTATTAAAGTTACCAGTAAAGTTGAAGGGCAGCTGACAAACTGACAGCTACAAGCTTGGACCGCATGCATATGTATATTTTCTCTTCAGATCAGTGTGATAACTACACCTACAAACAGTATATTTTTACTCTAAGCCTTTGGTTTAGCTGTCCTTGCCAGAGGCATTTTCAAGGTTTATGACTTTTTGTCTGTTGTATGCCAGATACCATCAGATGTCCTGGCACAGAGGCTAGTCAAAAAAAAAAAAAAAAAGAAAGGACAAAGAAATCTCTTTATATATATGGTAAAATTTAATTCATAACAGTATTTCTGGTACTTTTCATTCCCAGTGGTTGGAAAAGGATAATTGTTATAAAGGCCCATGTACAGGCCACTGGGGCAATGGAGGCAGGATCCACTGTTTCATTAACTTTAGCGCAAGGCAGCAGTAATGGGGTCACTACCACCCTCTGGCTGCCCTTAGCCACAAGTTGAATATCACAGCCTAGTATTGTATTTAACCAAATCCAAGAAACCTTAGAATTGAAGATGATCCCCCCTCAAATTAGATTCTACACATGGAAATGTTGTTATAATTTTCCACGTACAAAGGATTGTCTTAAAAATCACCCCCCTCCCCTTAACACACACACACAGAGCACCACTGCAATAAGGAAAGCAGTGGCAGAGTCAAGTGGCCTGACCCCTACACCTTGTCCCCTTCCACCTATCCCTCCTACCACTTGCCCCTCCTTTTGCATGTGTGCCCCTGCCTTTGCCCCACTACCATGGCACCTACCCACCCTGCCGGACTTTCCTGATGCCTTCTCCCTCCCCTCCTCTCCTCCTGGCCATTGCCTACTCTCCATGACTCTGCTCTGGCCCTGTTCTCATGAGAGACATGGAGCATAAGGCACATGGTTGTTCCTGCCCCAGCCCAGTGATGCAGTAGCAGTTATGGTGGTGGCAGCTCTAGCCCCAATCCCAGAGCCATGGCTAGAGCTGTTGTCATTACCACCATGGCTGTATGACTGGGCTGGGTTAGAACTGACCATGTGCTCTGTGCCCTGGGCCAGAGCAGGTTCAGACTCAGAACTGAAGAGCAGAAGCTCGGGAGGGCAAGTGGCAAGGAAGAAGTAGAGGCAGCGGGGAAGGGGGGAAGGGAAGCAGGCAGGGGGGAGAAGAGGCTGATGGAAAGACAGCTCCAACTCCAACCCTAGATCAAGGCTGGGGTCAGACCTGCAGCAGTCAACTGCTCTCCCAAGCCCCACCCTCCCTTGGTACTCAAATCCAATACGAGGGAAAAAAACCTCATTTTGGATTTGAGAAAATATGGTATGAATCAGTTTAGGTGGCAATGCTCACTCCAAGATCAGCAGCTCATCTAGCCTGGTATGGAGACAATGAAAGTAGCTGGTATCATCTGCTTCAGGAACAGAGGAAATATATCCTGCAGTTGATAATTATGAGGTAAAGCACGCCCAGGGAATGTTCTTTCCTAACCCTCAGTAGTTAAAGATTAGTTTCTGCCCTTCTGATTTTAATGTTTAGCATCACGCTAGATAACCTTGTTTATATAGTTGCATATGCATACAAATTCCCAATCCTTTTTTGAAACCCTGAAATATTCCTGGCCTGAATGACTACCTATACACATGCTCATTAGTGTTCTAATTACAATGCACTGGAGCAGACTTGATTAATCAAGTCTCCTCTACATTCCCACTAGAATGCTGCAGCATTGCTGCAGGGTCACATGTATTAAGCCCCTCATGCACTTTAAAATGGCTGCATTTAAACCTTGTCGAATGAGGTTTAGATAAAGCATCCCATGGCCATTTTTAAATCCATGGGGGTTTAATACACATGATGGTGAGGCATTTTAATTAGAGCAGCTGACCAGGAACCACTTTAATTAAAATCTCTGCCTCCTCCCTCTCCCTCCCTACACACACCTCTGAACATTTGTATAGGAAACCCATGGTACCTGTTCCACAGTTTTCTTGCACTGTACCTGAAAACATGTTCCCTTTGAAGAGTACTGATCTTGCTACATTCTGATTTCACTGAATATCTCCTAGTTCTTGTATTATTTTTGGGAAATGGTGAAAAAATTATCCTGATCTATATTCTCTGTGGGTTTTGTTACACATTATGCTTTAAGCTTCACAAATGTAAATCAGTGTTAATATGACCTCGAGTTTACAGCAATTAAATAGTCAGGCTAAAAACTTTTTCTGATTGTCCCCAACTTGCACAGCTATGACTTGCCACTAGAGAGTTGGCAAGCCACAAAAGGCTTCTATCCCTGCTTTAGGTGGGGGGTGAGTTGGAGAGAAGGGTTGGTGCATGTGGGGGCAGGAGCACAAGGCTGGAAGGGTGAGAATTTTCAGATGGGACTGGGTAGTAAAATGGGAGGTGGGGAGGCAATGGGTAGGAGTGGCAGCTAGGTGGTGAAATGAAGGATGTCAGCCACTGAAGCCACTAAACAATAAAATAAACAGAAGTAAAAACAAAGAAACTAAAAATAAATAAAGAATAAGTAAATTAAAGAAAGTCTCATGTTTTAATAAACTGGGATTAGGATTCGGTAGCCACTGCCTCAGAAGGGAAGCCCCAGCTCACAGGGACCCCAATCTTGCTCCCCCCTCCATCCTGACTAAACCTACCCCCTGAACCAGTCCGTTCCCTTGCA